CGCGGTATCTTCAGATTTGGATTTTAGAATTAAGTCCAGTCTCTTTAAGTTCATAGTTAATCTTCATCCCGACAAAAAGTAAAGGAATATGAGCAAATTTAATCTTGTAAGCAACATTATTTTGACTTTTTGTTCTACACTGTTAAATGGACTGATACTTTAGACAGAAAACCTCAAAACGGAACTTAAATTTTTTGGTGACAATGGTGTTTCCGTGCGCTAAGTTTTGAAAAACTAGGTTGGTGCCGAAGACGCCGTCTGTGCTCCCAGGATATTAGAGCAAAGAGAGGAAAAAAACATGCAAAAAGAGGCAATCTATAAAGATTACAAGAAAGTAAAAGAGAGTCGGATGAAAAATGATGTAACTTAACAGAAATTTGCTTACTGCTACTTAAAGTACATTCAATAAATCCCGGCTCCTACGAAAATACCTTTTATAGAGTGACCTGAACTACATCTACTTTTAAACTTCCAGCTTCTAATAATTTTTCCGATAACTGAGCATGATGAAGCCTAACTTTATATTGAGAGTATCTTTGTCGTGAAGTATAAATGACCGTCGCTGTTGGTGGACTGCACAGTAAGCGAAAAACAAACAGGAAAATGTTTTTGAAATGCTTATGCATCAAGCAATTTTTTAAACACGACTGAATTGGTCAGCTTAAAATATCGACAGTACGTAAAGTTGAGGGTAGTTGTAGTTGTCGTATAAATGCTGAGACAACAGAACTAGCAGGTGTAGTTACAAGCAACAGTTCACGATAAAATGTTGAGTCTGACCATTCCGTAAATTCCCTCAACAGAGCATATACTTTGCCACTTCGAGTACTTCTCGGTACACCGGAATGGACAGCAACTCTGCAGATTTTTACCGAATGCAACATTTGCAACTGGCTTTGCAAAGGGAAATTCGAGCGCTGAACAGCAGTAAACCATGCCATCCATCAAAATTATCATTTTGAGGGGTTTGAAATTTGAACTGTCCTGGAAAGCAACTTGACGGGGAATTAATAGACGGCAGTGAACGAATGTATACGTGGTTTGTAACTGTTAACGGGAGAAACTTATTGCTTTGTTACTATGAATCTTAACCAGATACGTAATCCTATCGATGAAAATCTCAGTCATAAAGCTGCAACAACACTTGTTTTTGTACATGTAGAACATAAGAAGACTGTCAAGTGTACTACAGCTTACTAAACTTTCATTTACGGGCCTGAATTTTATATAGTACGGATGCAGAAGAGGAGCGTACAGGAGAAAAATAGACACTTTTGAAAGATTACTAGTCGCCTGTTCCATCACATTTTCGGCTAAATAAAGTCCATAAAATAATCAATACTAAAACCGGAAAATGATCATTCAAACTTTGTCGCCCTTGGTTTGGAAATCCAAAAATCCCTACTTTTAAAAAAACATGGCCAGTGATAAAGCCCCCACTTAAAACAAATTTTTCTTTCTTGAAGAACCTTTTCACCACATTACTTTGAAAACTTAGATTAAAGATGCATATTACAAACACTGAATCTTGCGTCAGTGACATAAAAACAGCTAGAATTTTTTCAGAATGACTACATTCTTATACAGCAAGGTGATATTTCTTGCATACTTCAAGTGAAACTGGGCAGAGGGGAAATAACTGCCCTTAAAACTTAGTGAAGCAGATACCATTTAAAGACCAGATGAGAAAACTTGAAGAATCGTAATAACACGACTAAGAAACCTTACGGAGTCCAACAGTCCAATTTCAAACGCTAACCAGTCAAATAAATACTTTCAACTAAAAATTTACTTAGTGAACAAGATGATTTGGAACCACACATATCCGTAAAAGTAACCACAACACTCGTCCAAGTGATTGATAGCACAAACACTAGTATTTGAAGAACAACAAATTCCCACAAAACCCTAGCACTTTATACCTTCTAAATACAAAATAGCAACAAGTAATCCTACTGCTGTGTAACACAGCCAGCCAAGTTATAAAATTGCTTTCCTTTAGCATAAACAGCAGGTTGTCTCAACTCTGTGCCAATGACGTCTCATCCTCGTGTTAAACAATTTTATTATTAATATTATTATTTATCTAAATTTATTTTTATATTTTTAACTTTTTGGACATAATAACTGCGCTTAAAAACTCTTGCCAATCCAGACCCCCTGCCTGAACAAAAATAGTAATTGTTTAAGACAAAAACCAGTAAAAAAATCTTTAAACAAGTTATTGAACACAAAAACAAAGTTGTACTTAGAATCTGCAGAGGAATACGTCTAAATATTCAAGAACAGAACTGAATAATGGCAAAAACAAAACTCCAATACAGAATAGTACGAAAGTATGACAACTAGTCATCATGGCTGAATTTCGTCCGAGGTCAACGGAACTCCAAAATGAAATAGCAGGAATTATCATCAGTCGTGCTTGTTTTAATCTCTTTTTCGAACGTAATAGATATAAAGATAATTCTGAGATAAAAAAAGCCAAATTTGTAAATCCAAACTCAAACCAAATCATTAAGTCAAATACTTGTAACAAAAAGTTCTGAGACCAATCTTGAGTGAAGCAATGAAATGTAATAGCCACATTATTACGATGGTGCTGCATATACACGCAACGAACGATCCAAACCGGTTGAGAATATACTGTTAGCATTTGCTCCAAAGCGTACTGCAGTGGCTGCTTCTTTATGATCGGTAAAAGTAGCAAGTACCACCCAAGGTCTCACATGAATTACTTCCACGTCGGCTGCAGCTACAGCTAAGTAACTTCCAGACTGGTCAAAAACAATATCAGAGATCTGAAAAAGAGTGACTTGATTTTGTTGAAATACTAGAAAAAGCTGAGATTTAGAGGAAACTTACAGCATATTTTCCCTCGTTAATAGTAATACTTTTGAAACTTTTAAGCTTCCTCAGATCCCACAATTTTACTTCACCGTCGTCCGCCCCAGTAGCAAGATAATAACCATTTTCGGAAAATGCGACTGCCCTTACAGAACCTGGAATATTAATGAAAAGTTATTGAACACTA